CTAGATGAATACATTTCCTACTTTTTATTTGAGTGAGACCACTTGATTCCGTGTACTATGCGAGATCTGAGCGCTTCCGTTCTCCCTGGCATTTGCATTTTAAGTTCCGATACTGACCGACCTGGCCAATGCACCATTTTCTCTATACATGTGCGTTGAATACATTTCAAACCTTTTTAGCTGACTAGAATTACCTATTTCCCACCTTCTGATCGAGTGAGACCGTTAGATTCCCTCTACTTTTTTAGAAACGAGCGTTTCCGTTCTCCCTGGCCCCACCTGCACTATGAGTGCGAAATGCCGGCCAGACTGGCCGATGCACCATTTTCTCTACACATGTGCGTTAGTTACCTTTCAAACCCTTACGTTCACTAGATGAATTTATTTCCTACCTTATATTTGGGTGAGACCACTAGATTCCGTGTACTATGCGAGATCTGAGCGGTTCCGTTCTCCCAGGCATTTGCACTCTAAGTTCCCATACTGACCGACCTGGCCAATGCACCACTTTCCATATACATATGCATTAGATTCCTTCTGAACCTTATTAGCTCACTAGATTTATATATTTCCAACCTTCTAATCGAGTGAGACTGCTAGATTCCCTTTACTTTTTGAGAAATGAGCGTTTCCGTTCTCCTTGGCCCTAGTTGCACTATAAGTGCGAAATGCCGGCCAGACTGGCCGATGCACCATTTTCTCTACACATGTGCATTAGTTACCTTTCAAACCCTTACGTTCACTAGATGAATTTACTTCCTACCTTCTATTTGAGTGAGACCACTAGATTCCGTGTACTATGCGAGATCTGAGCGCTTCCGTCCTCCCTGGCATTTGCACTCTAAGTTCCCATACTGACCGACCTGGCCAATGCACCATTTTCCATATATATATGCATTAGATTCCTTTCGAACCTTATTAGCTCACTAGATTTATATATTTCCCACCTTCTGATCGAGTGAGACCGCTAGATTCTCTCTACTTTTTGAGAAATGAGCATTTCCGTTTTCCTTGGCCCTAGTTGCACTATAAGTGCGAAATGCCGGCCAGTTTGGCCGATGCACAATTTTCTCTACACATGTGCGTTAGTTACCTTTCAAACCCTTACGTTCACTAGATGAATATATTTCATACTTTCTATTTGAGTGAGACCACTTGATTCCGTGTACTATGCGAGATCTGAGTGCTTCCATTCTCCCTGGCATTTGAATTTTAAGTTCCGATACTAACCGACCTAGCCAATGCACCATTTTCCATATACATATGCATTAGATTCCTTTCGAACCTTATTAGCTGACTAGATTTATATATTTCCCATCTTCTGATTGAGTGAGACCGTTAGATTCCCTCTACTTTTTGAGAAACGTGCGTTTCCGTTCTCCCTGGCCCCACCTGCACTATGAGTGCGAAATGCCGGCCAGACTGGCCGATGCACCATTTTCTCTACACATGTGCGTTAGTTACCTTTCAAACCCTTACGTTCACTAGATGAATATATTTCCTACTTTCTATTTGAGTGAGACCACTAGATTCTGTGTATTATGCGAGATCTGAGCGGTTCCGTTCTCCCAGGCATTTGCACTCTAAGTTCCCATACTGACCGACCTGGCCAATGCACCACTTTCCATATACATATGCATTAGATTCCTTCCGAACCTTTTTAGCTCACTAGATTTATATATTTCCCACCTTCTGATCGAGTGAGACCGCTAGATTCCCTCTACTTTTTGAGAAATGAGCGTTTCCTTTCTCCTTGGCCCTAGTTGCACTATACGTGCGAAATGCCGGCCAGACTGGCCGATGCACCATTTTCTCTACACATGTGCGTTAGTTACCTTTCAAATTCTTACGTTCACTAGATGAATTTATTTCCTACCTTCTATTTGAGTGAGACCACTAGATTCCATGTACTATGCGAGATCTGAGCGCTTTCGTTCTCCCTGGCATTTGCACTCTAAGTTCCCATACTGACCGACCTGGCCAATGCACCACTTTCCATATACATATGCATTAGATTCCTTTCGAACCTTATTAGCTCACTAGATTTATATATTTCCCACCTTCTTATCGAGTGAGATCGCTAGATTCCCTTTACTTTTTGAGAAATGAGCGTTTCCGTTCTCCTTGGCCCTACTTGCACTATAAGTGCGAAATGCCGGCCAGACTGGCCGATGCACAATTTTCTCTACACATGTGCGTTAGTTACCTTTCAAACCTACGTTCACTAGATGAATTTATTTCCTACCTTCTATTTGAGTGAGACCACTAGATTCCGTGTACTATGCGAGATCTGAGCGCTTCCGTTCTCCTTGGCATTTGCACTCTAAGTTCCCATACTGACCGACCTGGCCAATGCACCATTTTCCATATACATTGTCAGAACATATAGCTTACTTGTTTCTGTAGGCTATAGTGGGGTATCCCATAGGGGGTACAACCCAATTAGGGTTTCCTATTTGTACCCACTTCATTTCATAGTCATTCACCCTCGTTCATTAAGTTTCACATGGTATAGAGCGGGTCCCTTCTAAGGACCGTTTTTTTTTGGGCCCACCCACGATCTTTTTTTTTCCTGCCCGGAGCGCGCCCTATTCTCCTCGAGGCGCGCTCCCCCTAGTGCGCGTCGAGCTGCCCTTGTGGCGCCCCGAGAGTCGCGCGCGCGACTCATTTTTTTTCGCGCGCGCGGCCGGGGCCCCACTTCGCGCGGCCCTTACAGCCGCGCCGCGCTGCCCTCTCGGCTCTGCCGCGCCGCGCCGTCCTCAAGACGGCCGCGCGGCCTCTTCGTCGCTGCGGCAGGCCCCCCCCGCTGCACCTCTGTCGGCCCCGCCGCCGCCTTACCTGACGGCCGCCGCCTCACCTGACGGCCCGCCGCCTCGCTCTCTGGCCCGCCACCTCACCAGACGGCCCTGCCGCCTCACCTGACGGCCCACCGTCTCACCTGCTGGCCCGCCACCTTACCTGACGGCCCCGCCGCCTCACCTGACGGCCCGCCGCCACCTTACCTGACGGCCCCGCCGCCTCACCTGACGGCCCGCCGCCTCACCTACTGGCCCGCCACCTGACCTGACGGCCCCGCCGCCTCACCTGACGGCCCGCCGCCTGACCTGCTGGCCCGCCACCTCACTGACGGCCCGCCGCCTCCCCCGCTGGCCCGCCACCTGATCTGACGGCTCGCCGCCTCACCTGCTGGCCCGCCACCTGACCTGACGGCCCCGCCGCCTCACCTACCGGCTCGCCACCTCACCTGCTGGCCCGCTGCACCCTGACGGCCCCACCGTCCCCTGTCCTGGCCCCGCCGCTGCACCCTGACGGCCCCGCCGTCCCCTGTCCCGGCCCCGCCGCTGCACCCTGACGGCTCCGCCGTCCCTTGTCCCGGCCCCGCCACTACACTGCAGCCGAGCCGCCCAGCAGCAGCCGAGCCGCTCAGCAGCAGCCGAGCCGCTCAGCAGCAGCCGAGCCGCCCAGCAGCAGCCGAGCCGCCCAGCAGCAGCCGAGCCGCCCGGTACCCGAGCCGCCCGAGCCGCCCGAGCTGCCCGAGCCGCCCGAGCCGCCCGAGCCGCCCCACCAGCCCGAGCCGCCTGCTGCTGTTCTACCCGACTCTCCTAGCCCGGTGAGACTTTCAGCTGCTGCCATGGCCACCCCCAATGTTCTTACTTTCGACGCTGAGGGGAGGGCCATTGACTTTGCCGTCTGGATTGAAGACCTGCAGCTGTACTTACTGTGTGATGCGGTAGATGAGGTCTCTCTTTTTGACTTTGTCTCTGGCGCTGTCCCTGCCCCACCTGCTGATGCTGACTCTGCCGTTCGCTCCAAGTGGGCGACCCGCGATGCTGCTGCACGTCTTGCTGTGCGTCGCCACCTCCCTTCCTCTGAGCGTGCCCACTTTAGTCAGTGCAAGACCGCTCAGGCCTTGTACGACGCTGTAGTTGCACGCTACTCCTCCCCTTCCTCCGCTACCCTTAGCCGCCTCATGCTACCGTTTCTCTTCCCTGACCTCGCTTCCTTTCCCACTGTTGCTGACCTAGTTACCCACCTCCGCGCTAGTGACACCCGCTACCGTGCTGCCCTTCCTGCTGAGTTCCGCGCTGCGAACCCTCCTCCCATGTACATCACTCTCTACTTTCTCGTCACCCGTCTCCCTGAGTCCCTTCGTGTCGTTAGGGACCAGTTTCTCTCTGTCTGTCCCACCACTCTCACTGTCGACCTCCTTGAGGAGTCCCTGCTAGCGGCTGAGAAGAGTATTGTCGCTGTAGGGGCCTCTCGGGGTGACCCTCGCACCCCCATCTTTGAGGGGTGTGGTCCTTCCCCCCTGCTGCCCTCTGTCGCCTCTGCCGCTGCGGCCGACCTCGCTGGTTTTGAGTCGGTCGGTGCGGCGTCTGCCCCCAGCGGCAGACGCCGCTCTGGCAAGGGCAAGGGGGGCAAGGGGGCGGGTGGAGCTAGAGGGGGCGGTGGAGGAGGCGGTGGGGGTGGAGGGGGGAGTGGGGGTGGCGGTGGGGGTGGTGGCGGGAGTGGAGGTACTAGTGGCGGCGGTGGAGGCGGAGGTGGCGGCGGAGGTGGTAGCGGAGGAGGCGGTGGGAGCGGTGGGAGCGACGGTCCTGGTGGGGGAGGTGGCGGTGGAGACGGGGGTGGCGGTGGAGGCGGGGGTGGCGGTGGAGGCGGGGGTCGGAGTGGCTCGTCCCAGCGGAGCAGCTCTGGGGGTGGTCAGCGCCAGCAGCAGCAGCAGCAGCAGCACCAGCAGCAGCCGCAGCAGCAGCAGCGCTCTCGCACCGTCCCCGGCCCTCAGCAGCTCCGTGAGTGGTACTTGCAGCGTCAGCGCGGTGGTGCGCTTGGTCCCTGCCCCTACGTTCTTCGCACCGGTGACCGTGCGGGGGAGAGGTGTGGAGGCGCCCACACAGCCCGTCGCTGCTTTGGCCGCCTGACCGACGCCTGGCGTCAGCAGTTTCCGGAGGCCGCTGAGATCCCCCGCTGGGGAGAGCTGTCTAGGGCTGGAGTAGCTATTTATGATCTTGACTTTGATGCTATTCTCTCTGCTATGTATGCTGTGACTGGTAGTGATGAGGATGACTGTTACCGGTGTTTCCCGCCCGACCCGGGCATTGGTACTGCCGCGTCAGGTACTAGTGAGGCTGCAGCTCTAGGTGCCAGTGCGTCTGTGCTCTCAGGTGCTGGTGAGTCCGCCCTCTCAGGTACTGTGTCGGCTTCGGCCTCTCACACCTTCACCCTTGACTCTGGAGCGTCTCGCTCCTTCTTTAGGGACCGCACCACTCTCACGCCGCTGAGTCGGCCGGTTGCGGTGTCCCTGGCTGACCCCTCTGGGGGACCTGTCCTGTCTCGCTTCTCCACTGTCCTCCCGTGTCCAGCGGCCCCCTCTGGCACCCTGACCGGTCTCTACCTCCCCTCGTTCTCGACGAACTTGGTGAGTGGTGCTGACCTCCAGGATGCAGGTGTCCACCAGTTCACCCCTGCTCGTCAGCGGGTGACCCACTGTACGGAGGCGGATACAGGTCGTCACCTGGCTACGTTTACACGTCGGCCAGGGTCGAGCCTGTACACACTGACCACTGCTTCTCCTCCAGGTGCTGCGTCTGGTAGAGTCCCTTCGTCTGGTCAGGTGTTTGCTGCAGCGTCCAGGTCTGGTCCTGAGTCTGCCCCCTGTTCGTGTCGTCGTCTGTCTCACGAGACCCTCCTCTGGCACCACCGCCTTGGCCACCCCTCTCTGCTTCGGCTCAGAGGCATGGCCTCGCGGGTCCTTGTGTCTGGTCTTCCCCGGTCCCTCCCTCCCCTTCCTCCGGGCCCTGGCCCTGCCTGTGTCCCCTGTGTCGAGGGGCGCCAGCGTGCTGCCCCTCACTCCTCCCAGTTTCCTCCGACAGAGGCCCCGCTGCAGACGCTTCACATGGACGTGTGGGGCCCAGCCCGCGTCCGTGGACAGGGTCAGGAGCGCTACTTCCTGCTGGTGGTTGACGACTACTCGCGTTACACCACAGTCTTCCCCTTGCGCAGCAAGGGTGAGGTCACTGCGGTGTTGATCGACTGGATCCGCGCAGCTCGTCTTCAGCTTCGGAGGAGCTTTGGCTCTGACTTCCCTGTTTTGCGTCTGCACTCGGACAGAGGCGGAGAGTTCTCCTCTGGCCTCCTGAGTGCCTACTGTCGTGTGCGAGGCATCCGTCAGACCTTCACGCTTCCGGACTCACCACAGCAGAATGGGATTGCTGAGCGCCGCATTGGCATGGTCATGGACGTCGCTCGTACGTCCATGATGCATGCGGCTGCTCCCCATTTTCTGTGGCCGTTTGCGGTCAGGTACGCTGCGCACCAGATCAACCTCCACCCCAGGGTCTCTCGACCAGAGACCTCCCCAGCCCTGCTGTGGACGGGGAAGGTTGGCGATGCGTCGGCGTTCCGGGTCTGGGGATCTCGGGCGTTTGTTCGCGACCTGTCTGCGGACAAGCTGTCCCCTCGTGCTTCTCCCTGCGTCTTCCTGGGGTTCCCCCCCGACGCCCCTGGGTGGCAGTTTTACCACCCCACCTCTCGACGTGTTCTGTCCTCCCAGGACGTCACGTTCAACGAGTCGGTACCCTACTACCGCCTCTTCCCCTACCGCACTCCGTCCCTCCCCCCGCTCCCGCTCTTCTTGGTACCAGGTCCCCCCCCGGTAGTCCCCCTCCCCCCTCAGGGTCCTGCCCCTTCAGGTGTGTCCCAGGTAGACGCAGTCGAGCCTGTCGAGGTCACTGGTGACTCTGGTGCTGCTGCGGGAGCTGAGCCTGAGGGTGCGGAGTCTGGGGGTGCTGAGCCTGGGGGTACTGTGCCTGGGGGTGCTGAGCCTGGAGGTGTCGAGCCTGGGGGTGCTGTGCCTGGGGGTGCTGAGCCTGGGGGTGCTGAGCCTGGGGGTGCTGAGCCTGGGGGTGCTGAGCCTGGGGGTGCTGAGCCTGGGGGTGCTGTGCCTGGGGGTGCTGAGCCTGGGGGTGCTGAGCCTGGGGGTGCTGTGCCTGGGGGTGCTTCGTCTCGCCGAGAGCCACTCCCCCCACAGGAGCTGCGTGAGTGGTTTGCCAGGCGCTGGAGGCGTGCTGCTGGTGCTGGTGGTTCTTCGGCTGCAGAGGGTACTGCTGCCACGCGTCCTGGTGGTGCTCCTACTGTGGGTGCTGGAGCTGCTGGGTCTGAGAGTTCTCCTGGAGCTGGTCCTGCTGAGGGTGTTGGCGCTGAGCCTGCGGTTGGCGGTCCGACTGACAGTGTTCCTGGTGCTGCTGCTGGAGGTTCTGGAGCTTCTGGTGGTTCTGCTGGAGGTGCTGCTGGAGTGGGTGCTCCGGACGGGGCTGCTGCTGCTGTTCCTGCTGTTTCTGGTGTCGCCGCGCGGCCCCGACCGTACTTCGTTCCGCTCCTGCAGCAGGTTCTTGGTCTTGCACCTCCTCCTGCTCCCTTAGAGGGTCCGCAGCCTGTTCGGTCACAGCCACAGCTCCAGCCTGCCTCCCCTTTGCCTGCTCCTTCTCCCTACGCTGGTCCGACTGGAGGTCTTACTGAGCGTCGTGAGCCTGCGTCTCGTCCTGCGTCGCCTGTTCGTACTGAGCGCGCTAGTGGTCGTGGTTCGCGTCAGCGTCCTCCTCCTGTCCCTGGCACGCACCGGATGTCACTGCATCCGTCCACTGCTCCTCTGCGTGCCCCTTTGCCTTCTCCTCCTGCTTCCTCTCTTCCTGCTCTTGCCGACCCTGAGTCGGACTCTCTTCGCGCTGCCAGTCCTACTGTCACGCGTCTCCTTGCTACTGCTGTTACTGACCCTTCCTTCGAGTCGTCTGCTGCGTCTGCCCTTGTCACTGAGCTTGTCGACTTTGCTGCGCGCTGTCGTCTAGACTACGCTGCTCGTCTTGTCACTGAGTCTGAGTCCGCCTGTCCTCCGTCCGTCGGGGGTGAGTGTGCCCTTGGCACGGACGTCCTTGAGGACAGGCAGGAGGAGTTCCAGTGTCTGGCCGCTGCTTCACCTCGTCTTGCGTCTGTACTGCTAGCCCCTGAGGGAGACCCGGATGCACCAGACATCCCGACTCCGCGCTCTTACGCGGAGGCGATAGAGGGTCCCTACTCCTCTCAGTGGCAGGCAGCTATGGATGCAGAGATGGCTTCGTGGAAGTCCACAGGCACCTACGTTGACGCTGTTCCCCCTCCTGGGGCGAACATCGTCAGTGGCATGTGGATTTTCAGGGTGAAGCGGCCGCCGGGTTCTCCGCCTGTCTTGAAGGCGCGTTACGTGGCTCGTGGCTTCAGTCAGCGGCAGGGGGTTGACTACTTTCAGACCTTCTCCCCCACCCCGAAGATGACCACTCTTCGGGTTCTGCTGCACGTTGCTGCTCACCGTGACTACGAGCTGCACTCTCTTGACTTCAGCACTGCTTTCTTGCAGGGCAGCCTGCACGAGGAGATCTGGCTGCGTCGCCCACCTGGCTTCACTGGGTCTTTCCCTCCTGGTACCCAGTGGAGTCTCCGGCGTCCAGTCTACGGTCTCCGCCAGGCGCCACGTGAGTGGCACGACACACTGAGGACTACGCTCGCGGCACTTGGGTTTGCTCCATCTACTGCCGACCCGTCGCTGTTTCTTCGCACCGACACCTCTCTGCCGCCGTTCTACATCCTCGTGTACGTCGACGACTTGGTCTTTGCCACAGCTGACACTGCTGGACTCGCCTACGTGAAGTCCGAGCTGCAGAAGAGACACACGTGCACTAACCTGGGTGAACTGCGCAGCTACCTTGGCTTGCAGATCACCCGGGACAGAGCACGCCGCACCATTACCCTGACTCAGTCACACATGGTGCAGCAGGTCCTTCAGCGCTTCGGCTTCACGTACTCCTCGCCTCAGGCCACTCCTCTGCCTACTCGCCACTCGCTCTCAGCTCTGCCTTCGGATGAGTCCGTAGAGTCGAGTGGCCCGTTTGCAGAGCTTGTTGGCTGCCTCATGTACCTGATGACCTGCACACGACCTGACCTCGCATACCCTCTTAGCATTCTCGCACGCTTTGTTGCTCCTGGGAGACACCGACCAGAGCACATGGCTGCAGCGAAGAGGGTGTTGCGCTACTTGTGCAGTACGTCGGGCATGGGGTTAGTGCTTGGAGGGCGCAGTCCAGTGGTCCTCACTGGGCACGCAGACGCTTCTTGGGCTGACGACCAGGCTACGCAGCGGTCGTCACAGGGTTACACCTTCAGCCTAGGTTCCGGCTCTGTCTCGTGGCGGGCTACCCGCTCGTCTTCTGTTCATGGCTCCAGTTGTGAGGCTGAGATCTACGCTGGGGCTATGGCTGCACAGGAGTTACGCTGGCTCACCTACCTGCTGACCGACCTTGGAGAGCAGCCTCGTTCTCCTCCAGTCCTGTACGTAGACAACAAGGCCATGCTGGCCTTGTGTCGAGAGCAGCGACTGGAGCACAGAACGAAGCACATTGCTCTCCGCTACTTTCTTGCTCGTGAGCTACAGCAGCGTGAACAGCTACGACTTGCGTACGTGGCCTCTGAGGCCAACACTGCTGATGTGTTCACCAAGGCACTTGCGCCTTGTGATCATCAGCGTTGTTGCACGCAGTTGGGTCTTGTGGCTGTCTTGCCTCACTTGCTCTCCTCTTGACCTTGCTTGTACCTTCGCATATATATATACTCTTGCTCTTGCTTACTTGATTCTTGTATATCTCTATATATGATCTTGCATGTAAACTGGCCTTCTGGCCTTTGAACTTGTGCTCGGAATGCGTGGTGACTTTGTGATCCACCCTGAGCTTTGCTTTGCTTTGCTTGACTGGTCTTGTGACCCCTTGTTCTCCCCCACTTTGCCTATGGGGGTGTGTCAGAACATATAGCTTACTTGTTTCTGTAGGCTATAGTGGGGTATCCCATAGGGGGTACAACCCAATTAGGGTTTCCTATTTGTACCCACTTCATTTCATAGTCATTCACCCTCGTTCATTAAGTTTCACATACATATGCATTAGATTCCTTTCGAACCTTATTAGCTCACTAGATTTATATATTTCCCACCTTCTGATCGAGTGAGACTGCTAGATTCCCTTTACTTTTTGAGAAATGAGTGTTTCCGTTCTCCTTGGCCCTACTTGCACCATAAGTGCGAAATGCCGGCCAGACTGGCCGATGCACCATTTTCTCTACACATGTGCGTTAGTTACCTTTCAAACCCTCACGTTCACTAGATGAATTTATTTCCTACCTTCTATTTGAGTGAGACCACTAGATTCCGTGTACTATGCGAGATCTGAGCGCTTCCGTTCTCCCTGGCATTTGCACTCTAAGTTCCTATACTGACTGACCTGGCCAATGCACCATTTTCCATATACATATGTATTAGATTCCTTTCGAACTTTATTAGCTCACTAGATTTATATATTTCCCACCTTCAGACCGCTAGATTCCCTCTACTTTTTGAGAAATGAGTGTTTCCGTTCTCCGTGGCCCTAGTTGCACTATAAGTGCGAAATGCCGGCCAGACTGGCCGATGCACAATTTTCTCTACACATGTGCGTTAGTTACCTTTCAAACCCTTACGTTCACTAGATGAATATATTTCCTACTTTCTATTTGAGTGAGACCACTTCATTCTGTGTACTATGCAAAATTAGAGCGCTTCCGTTCTCCCTGGCATTTGCATTTTAAGTTTCGATAATGACCGACCTGGCCAATGCACCATTTTCTCTATACATGTGCGTTGAATACATTTCAAACCTTTTTAGCTGACTAGATTTATATATTTCCCACCTTCTGATCGAGTGAGACCGCTAGATTCCCTTTACTTTTTGAGAAACGAGCGTTTCCGTTCTCCCTGGCCCCACCTGCACTATGAGTGCGAAATGCCGGCCAGACTGGTCGATGCACCATTTTCTCTACACATGTGCGTTAGTTACCTTTCAAACCCTTACGTTCACTAGATGAATATATTTCCTACCTTCTATTTGAGTGAGACCACTAGATTCCGTGTACTATGCGAGATCTGAGCGCTTCCGTTCTCCCTGACATTTGCACTCTAAGTTCCCATACTGACCGACCTGGCCAATGCACCATTTTCCATATACATATGCATTAGATTCCTTTCGAACCTTATTAGCTCACTAGATTTATATATTTCCCACCTTCAGACCGCTAGATTCCCTCTACTTTTTGAGAAATGAGCGTTTCCGTTCTCCTTGGCCCTAGTTGCACTATAAGTGCGAAATGCCGGCCAGACTGGCCGATGCACAATTTTCTCTACACATGTGCGTTAGTTACCTTTCAAACCCTTACGTTCACTAGATGAATATATTTCCTACTTTCTATTTGAGTGAGACCACTTGATTCCGTGTACTATGCGAGATCTGAGCGCTTCCGTTCTCCCTGGCATTTGCATTTTAAGTTCCGATACTGACCGACCTGGCCAATGCACCATTTTCTCTATACATGTGCGTTGAATAAATTTCAAACCTTTTTAGCTGACTAGATTTATATATTTCCCACTTTCTGATTGAGTGAGACCGTTAGATTCCCTCTACTTTTTGAGAGACGAGCGTTTTTGTTTTCTTCCTGGCCCCACCTACACTATGAGTGCGAAATGCCACCGAGACTGGCCGATGCACCATTATCTCTACACATGTGCGTTAGTTATCTTTCAAACCCTTACGTTCACTAGATGAATATATTTCCTACCTTTTATTTGAGTAAGACCACTAGATTCCGCGTATTATGCGAGATCTGAGCGGTTCCGTTCTCCCAGGCATTTGCACTCTAAGTTCCCATACTGATCGACCTGGCCAATGCACCACTATCCATATACATATGCATTAGATTCCTTCCGAACCTTATTAGCTCACTAGATTTATATATTTCCCACCTTCTGATCGAGTGAGACCGCTAGATTCCCGTTACTTTTTGAGAAATGAGCGTTTCCGTTCTCCTTGGCCCTACTTGCACTATAAGTGCGAAATGCCGGCCAGACTGGCCGTGTGAAACAAGTAAACGGGAATGGGAATGACTAAGGAAAGGTTGGGTACAAATACAACCCTAGAAACCCTGTACCCCATATGTGCTACCCCACTATAGCCTAAACCCTAAACCCTAAACCCTAAACCCTAAACCCTAAGTCACCACACAGTCCGAGCACAAGAGGAGGGCCAGAGGCCAGTTCACATGCAGGAGTACAGACATATATATAAAACTAGACAAGCAAGAGCAGGTATATATATATATATGTCACAGTACAAGTGAAGTCAAGAGGAGAGCAAGTGAGGCAAGACAGGCACAAGACCCAGCTGGGTGCAAAAGCGCTGATGGTCACAAGGCGCGAGTGCCTTGGTGAACACATCAGCAGTGTTGGCCTCAGAGGCCACGTACGCAAGTCGCAACTGACCACGCTACTGCAGCTCACGAGGAAGGAAGTAGCGGAGAGCAATGTGCTTCGTTCTGTGCTCCAAGCGCTGCTCTCGACACAAGACCAGCATGGCCTTGTTGTCTACGTACAGCACTAGAGGAGAACGAGGCGGCTCTCCAAGGTCAGTCAGCAGGTAGGTGAGCCAGCGAAGCTCCTGTGCAGCCATGGCCCCGGCGTAGATCTCAGCCTCACAACTGGAGCCGAGAACCGAAGACGAGCGAGTAGACCGCCACGAGACAGAGCCGGAACCAAGGCTGAAGGTGTAACCCTGTGACGATCGCTGCCTAGCCTGGTCGTCAGCCCAAGAAGCGTCCGCGTGGCCGGTAAGGACCACTGGACTCCGCCCTCCAAGCACTAGCCCCATCCCCGACGTACTGCACAGGTAGCGCAATACCCTCTTCGCTGCAGCCATGTGCTCTGGTCTGTGTCTCCCAGGAGCAACATAGCGTGCAAGAATGCTCAGAGGGTATGCAAGGTCAGGTCGTGTGCAGGTCATCAGGTACATGAGGCAGCCAACAAGCTCTGCATACGGACCACTCGACTCTACGGACTCATCCGAAGGCAGAGCTGAGAGTGAGTGGCGAGTAGGCAGAGGAGTGGCCTGAGGCGAGGAGTACGTGAAGCCGAAGCGCTGAAGGACCTGCTGCACCATGTGTGACTGAGTCAAGGTAATGGTGCGGCGTGCTCTGTCCCGAGTGATCTGCAAGCCAAGGTAGCTGCGCAGTTCACCCAGGTCTGTGCACGTGTGTCTCTTCAGCAGCTCGGACTTCACGTAGGCGAGTCCAGCAGTGTCCGCTGTGGCAAAGACCAAGTCGTCGACGTACACGAGGATGTAGAATGGCGGCAGGGAAGTGTCAGTGCGAAGAAACAGCGACGGGTCAGCAGTAGAAGGAGCAAACCCAAGAGCCGCAAGCGTAGTCCTCAGTGTGTCGTGCCACTCACGCGGTGCCTGGCGGAGACCGTAGACTGGCCGTCGGAGGCTCCACTGGGTGCCAGGAGGGAAAGTCCCAGTGAAGCCAGGTGGACGGCGAAGCCAGATCTCCTCGTGCAGGCTACCCTGCAGGAACGCAGTGCTGAAGTCGAGAGAGTGAAGCTCGTAGTCGCGATGAGCGGCTATGTGCAGCAGCACCCGAAGAGTAGTCATCTTTGGGGTGGGAGAGAAGGTCTGAAAGTAGTCAACTCCCTGCCGCTGACTGAAGCCACGAGCAACGTACCGTGCCTTGAAGACAGGTGGAGAGCCCGGCGGCCGCTTCACCCTGAAGATCCACATGCCACTGACGATGTTCGCCCCAGGAGGAGGAACCGCGTCAACGTAGGTGCCTGTGGACTTCCAGGAAGCCATCTCTGCATCCATAGCTGCCTGCCACTGAGAGGAGTAAGGACCCTCTACGGCCTCCGCGTAAGAACGCGGAGTCGGGATGTCTAGTGCATCCGGGTCTCCCTCAGGGGCAAGTAGTACAGACGCGAGATGAGGTGAAGCAGCCGCTAGACACTGGAACTCCTCCTGCCTGTCCTCTAGGACGTCCGTGCCAAGAGCACACTCACCCCCGACGGACGGAGGACAGACAGACGCAGACTCAGCAACAAGACTAGTAGCGTAGTCGAGACGACAGCGAGCAGCAAAGTCGACGAGCTCAGCAACAAGAGCAGACGCAGCAGTGGACTCAAAAGAGGGGTCAGTGACGACAGTAGCAAGCAGACGCGTGACAGTAGGACTGGCAGCACAAAGAGAGTCCGACTCAGGGTCGGCAAGCGCAGGAAGAGTGGACTCAGGCGGAGAAGGCAAAGGGGCACGCAGAGGAGCAGTGGACAGACGCAAAGACATCTGGTGCGTGCCAGGGACAGGAGGAGGACGCTGACGCGAACTGCGACCACTAGCGCGAGCAGTACGAACAGGCGACGCGGGACGAGACGCAGGCTCACGACGCTCAGCAAGACCTCCTGTAGGACCAGTGTAAGGAGAGGGAGCAGGCAGTGGAGAGGAAGGCTCCAGCAGGGACTTCGACTGGACAGGCGGTGAACCCTCTACTGGAGGAGAAAGACCAAGAACCTGCTGCAGGAGCGGAACGAAGTACGGCCGAGGCCGCGCGGCAGCTCCAGACTCAGCAGGGACAGCACCAGCGCCACCCACACCTCCAGCGGCAGGACCAACAGCAGTAGGCTCAGCACCAACGCCCTCAGCAGCTCCAGCTCCAGGAGGACCCGCAGGTCTAGCAGCT